TTTTTTTCTATTAGTAAACATTTAACCTACCTTGCAAATTTATTTATAAATAATTTCAAAAGATTTACTTTTGACAATGTTAATTTCCTTCACTTAGTTATCATAGTAGTATCATGAAAACTATGAAGCTATTTGTAGTATAAATATTTCTGGTAATTAATCTCACTATCAATTTCGCTGTTTTTTTTGCTGGTTTGTTGATGTATTGTTGACGTGAAGTGTTTACATAGTTATCGATCGAACTAATCATAATGGTATTATCGATATCAACTGCAATATCGGCAGTATGTCGGTATTGCAGATAAAGTTCGATAAACAAATTTGTACATTAAAATCCATATTAATAAAAATGTAAAAAAAAATATGCAAGAAAATTTTAGCATATATTTTGAAAAGAGGGGAGGAGTGGGGAAAGGTGGGGAGGGCCCAAAAACCGCTATGTCTCGGGCCTACGAAAGGTATACTACGGCTCTGTGCCTAGGGCCTACGAAAGGTATAATCCGGCTCTGGTGAACAGTGACACACCAGTTCTGACTTAACGATAAGCAACAAGTAAAAATTGGAAGCTGTTGATTCCAGGATCGTTTCTCTAATAATAGGATGCAGCATATCTTTTTAAGACTTTATTCCAGCGTTCCAGCAAATCGTTGCTGGCAGGACCAGTTCCCCTTTTTTTTTATTTAAATACATTAACTTCTCTTTTAGTGATAATGTAAAAATAATTCACTATGCTATCACATTTGGAAATCCCCGTCCTCGAAAATATACTTTAAAACGTCTCACTTTTGAGAAGACTTCGGGTCAAACGAGACATTTGGTAACCATAATATGGACCAGTTGGAGGTTCGGTTGGATCTATCAAGTTCACAACATGAAATGGAAGTTCTGCTGTCATTCTTCCCTTCTCTGTTGGCGATCCTTACATGTTAATATAACATCTGTCATATTACGTCAATGGAAGCTATACTTAATTCCTTTTTTAGTACCTAATATCTGTAATAACATAGAGAAGACGTATTTAATATGACGGACATGCTTCGAACATTTTTATAATGAACATTATTTTGTGAGGTTACGCCTCTTCCCATCGAAAAAGGAATTGAGGTCAGATGTGTGATAATTCCAAATCAAAATTTCTTTTAAACAATGCAAGGAATCAATTAGAACCAAGCGCTACAAAAAAAAAGAA